AATTAGTAATTCTCTATCCCTCCTATTTAAAGCCGAATAGTATACTAATATTAAGGACGGTTATAATTATTAAGAAAAAAATACGTAAACCGAAGTTCGCTAAAAGTATTATAATTATTTTAAATTATTATTAAATAAGTTTAATAAGAGGGATAGGGGGATAAATAAATAGAAAAATAATTAGGATATTATAATAATTAATGCAATTTACCATAAAATTCTAAAAATTATTATAATTAGCGCTTGATTTGAAGACCTTTTAAACTACTTACAATTAATCAAACTTACCTAAATATTTAATATATTTAAATATTTTAGTAAAAACGTTATAGTTGATACTTTTAATTTTCATTTAATATCCGGGAACTTCCGCCGTAAAAGATTGAACGAACAACCTCCTATTAGTATTAATGAAATTAAGGGCTATAGGGAAGCGTTCGGTATAGGCCTAATTTTAATAGTTTATAGGATAGTAATATTAAAGACGAGGATACTTAATCTAATAGGACTTAGAATTATTATAAAAGGAAATATAAAATTATAATTATAAATATTTTATTAATATCCCTAATTATTCGCTATAAATCGTATTAATAAAAATTCTATTTAATTAAATAATATTAATATTTATTCCTTATTAAAATAATCAACTCTAAATAGAAGCCTATTAAGAAAGTCTAAAATAAAGTTAAAAAGAATCTCTATAATAATTTAAAATTAAAGAGAGAAATTGACCGCTTTGAGTAGGAAATTAAATAAAATAATAACGGTAATAAAATTAATTAATTTTCTGACGAAAGTACTTAGGAAGTAGCCGCTAATTATAAAATAATTGTTTATTAAACGGTTCTCTAAGTAGGAGAAAGAAATTTAGAACCGTACCCTCTTAAGAATAATACTCTTTTCGATTCTAGTAATTTTCTTTATATTTTTAATAAGATTACCTATTTTATTAATTTTCGTTACATTCCTTATAATAATAGTCTTTAAGTTAAAAATTCTTGTATTTTTATTAAAGGATATAATAATATAAATATTATAATTTAGGGATATAGAAGGCCTAGGAAGCTTCGTTTCTATAATATAGCCTGTTATTCCGATTTTATAACTAACTTCGTCTCTCTCTACCTTTTTCGTAAAAAAGGTTTTTATTAGAATTAATAACTATTTAATAATTACTTTCGAAACCTAAATCAATCCTTCTTTTATTATTCTACGATATAATATTATTAAATAATCTTCGAAGACCTCTCTCTTTCTTTTTCTAGAGCTGCTTTCTTTATATAACATAATTAATTTAATTCTTTTAATAACTATAAACAGTATAAAAAAGAGGTTATTATTTAATATTATTACTTTAATTATTATAATCCTTAAGTATTCGATTACTTTACTGACGTTATTAGCGCTTGCTTTAAGGGTCCTTCTATTATATATTACGACGTATATACTTTATCAAAAATTAAACGATAGGTTAACAGTAAACTTTACGACTATAATTATAGCCTAAGAGAAAGATTAATTATAAATTTTCTTGACTATACGAAAAACTACTAAGAATATTCTAATATTATATTTATTACCTATAGATATACCGGGTATATTTAGGACTACTATATAATAGAGTGTAAAGTTATTACTATTACCTTTTTCTTCAACGACTTTTTTATAATATTAAAGATTTAGTATAATGCTTAATTAAAGGTTATCGAATATAATAACGAAATTAGTAGGTCCTAAGTGGTAAAGGAATTCTTTACTTTTAAAAATATAATTATTGAGCCTTCTATTCTATATACCTAAATATAGAATAGTAGCGTAGAACGTTCGGGAGGTATAGTTAAAGAAAAGTCTAGAGTAATAATATAGAATTTTTATTTCGCCAAAAATTTATAACTAAAAATCGTTTCTATCATAATTTATTTTATTAATTAATCCCCTAAATCCCTCTATAATTAAAAATCCCTATATAAGTATTTTTATACTTTTATTACTAAACGAAACGGACTTAATATATTAACCCTATATAAATTGGTTATTATATACCTTTGTATTTATAATTATAAAATATATACTATAATTATAGCTGCTTAAAAGAAAGAAAAGAAGCGTTAGAAAATAAACCTTAAAATATAGATCGGATATTTAATTAGTTATATTATATCCTTAATCTACTATATTTAGAACCCTGTTAATAATTCAATTATTAACACCCGCAACGTATTATTTAATGAAAATATATTCTATTCTAAGGAAATATTAATCGAAGCGTAGTCTTTAAAAATCTCTTCCAACGAATTTACTATATTATTCTAAAAATATAATTAAACGGTTCTAATATTAAGAATCCTTAATTTTATCGGTAGCCGAATCGACTTTAAAAATATTTAAACGTGTAATATACCCAGTTCCCTTCTAGAATTTAATTAAATCTATTAAGAAGGAGAGACAAACTATATATTTCTAAAGCCCCTACTAGAAAATTCGAATACCCTTATGAAAAGGATGTTTATTAATTTTATTTTTAATAATAAATATCCTACTCTTCTAAATACGCCGCCGCTAAACCGACCGCTACTTACCTCCTTCTTCGCCGGTTTCTATTTTATCTCCTGTATTAAAAATAAAATCTATAATGGATTCGAACCCTAGAAGGCCGCTTTTAATATTAGTAGATTTTACTAACTTATAATAATATATAATAGTAAGCCCGTTACGAAAGTAGTATTATAGCGACTTATCCACGATAATAAAATTATTAATAAAGAAGAATTTAAATCCCTAGTCCGTATAAATAAGGTTTAATCTATTTATAAATATTGTTTTCCTTTAGCGCTTAAAAACTATAAATCTTTTAATTACTATATCCTTAGAGACTTTTTTAGATAAATAGAGTAAGCCTATTTTAATAATTATAAAAAAATAAAGATTTAGTTAGAGGCCGATAGGGACGAATGATATATTTGAAGTAAATAAATCTTCAATTATATATAAGTATATACGTATAAATTCTTTAAAAATAGTAAATTTAATAAGGTTAAAGCCCGTTTTGTTGTTTATAAAAATTAATAAGTAAAGAAGGTAGGGTAGGAGACGTACGCTTCTACCTTCGCTAGCTGCTCTTTCTATACTTTTATTACTATAGCCGCCTAATTTAATTTTGAATTTATTTAATATAATGCTATTAATACTTTCGTTAATATTTATATAGATAAAAATATTTATATATATATATTTCTAGGCTATAAAACTCTAAATAAAATGCTTAAAGTATTTAAAGCCCTATATAGCCTATAATATTCCCTATTCCTCTAGTAACGAGAATTTATAAATACTTTAAAAATAATAAGTTTCGAATTAATCCTTAAAGAGCTATATATCTTCGTTAATGGTAACGTGCTTATTTTTTATTATATTAATAATATAACTTTTACGTATTACCCTAACAAAGCTACTACTATATAAGAATATATAGATAACCTTAGCTAGTAATATTATATAATTAGAAAAGACGAATTATAATAATTCTTAAGTATTAAAATTATTCGAAACTGTTAAATGGGAAAGATCTAATTATTTTAACGCTTATATTTATAAAAGATTTACTACTTTACAAATACTAAACGTATTATTTTAATCTCTATATCTAATGTTGAATTAATTCCCTTTTAAAGTAAAGCTTCCCCTTATTTAATATATTTATATTAAATTAAAGTAGGTTTAATACTATATACCGCTATTATTATACGCCTAAATATTACTTTCGCTACTAGCCGTCTCTCTAAATATAGTTACAACCTTAGTCCAAATTATTATAAGGCTACAAATAAAGTATTCTACTACCTTTATACCACCGCTAATATAGCACTCTATTATAGAAGTAATAAAGTAATCTAGATTGCTTCGAATTCGTTATTTATAAATAATTCTATAGACTGTAAAAATTCGTAAGGATTTATAATATAATTCTTTAGAAGGCTAATTTACTAGGGTACTACCAAATAGATAATTATAACTACCTCTACAACCGAGGTAGAATTTATTATACTTACTAATATAGCCAAGGAAACCCTCTTTATAATAAGATTTATTATTAGTCTTATAGTAAGGCTAATTAATCCTATCTCTATTCTAATCTATAATAATCAATAAACCATTAGAATTTTCATTATAGAAGCTACGAAGCTAATAATAAAGTTTAAATACGTAGATATTTATAGATATTAGGTAAAATAAGAGGTATTTACTAGGAGGATAAAAATTAAATATTTAGAAATGGTTAAAATACCTATAGACGGTTTAACGAAGGTAATAGATTTCTAAAAGTATATAGCGTTTATAAAGTTAGTAAGGATAAATTTAGTAGAGAATAGGGAATTGAAAAGATAGGAGAATATAATAGTATACATTAAAATAAATAAAATTAATAAAGAGATAAATCCTAGGATAATTATATAATATTGTAAATAGGGTTATTTCTAAACAGTTTTGGGCAGTTTTGTCTCTATAAAACTTTAACTAGGGAAGTATATTAATTTGGAGGGTTAAATCCAGCCAGTAAAAAGAGGGCTCTGAATAAGGACTAGCCTCCCAACCACCAGAATCTGGCTATAAGCCTCCCTAATACTCTGGGAGCCCCCAACTCTGGTTCTACAGCACTCTTCTACACACACACACATTAATACAGAGATTTATCCACATTTTTTATTTAACCGTGCATTCTGACACTTACATGCAGGGCCCTTCCGTGACCTGCATGAAAGTCTTTTTATAGGCACCACTACGATCGTCGTCGGACCTCAACAAAAAAAAAGTTAAATCTTTTTCCTATCATTGTCTCTTTCCCACTTCCCGTCCTTTGTTAGATAGCACCATGCCGCCAATGCTCTACTACACTAATCCTGCGGAACAGTAGCGCCATCAAGTAAGCATAGCGGAGCGGCAGCGGCGGCGGGGGAGATGGCGGTCGTCTCCGCTGCTCTGCGTGCTATTTCCAGAATATGAAAGTGGATGGTCTTGGTTGCGACTTCATGGGTGGTAGAAATGGGCAAGACAGCGCCGTGTAAGGAACGCAAACCGCGAAAGTACAGCGCATACGTCAACGGTAATCTTTCTCGCAATTAATTCCAGGCACGGGTTGTGTAACTTTGCAATCATCATTTCCCTTCTGTTCCAGTACAATGACCGTCGAAATTACGACGGAGATAAAAGTTCTCAGGTTTCAATGATACAGAAACAAGACAGGACAGGCAAGCAGAAAAGGGTCAAGTTGTACACTGTAGGGCGTCTGTGATACCGAAGCTTTGAATGGACGAAATCGAAGCAAAAACAGTCCAATGGTGAACGGGGTAGCGCGGCAGTGCTAAAAAATCGCCCAAAATGTAACGTCCGTATGGATGAGTTTTTCCGACGCCGTTGACGTTGAAGCAAATGCAACGCCTGATCTTTTTCACTTCCGAGATCCAGATCGTATTTCCGCGAGCTAGCGTTCAACTTTCGCCCTTTGTGGTCTGCGAGCAATTGTTTACCACCGACCCCAAAGGATCAACCGTCGCCAATATCGCGAGATCTGAGCAGAGAAGGGTCCACGACTCCACGAAACGTTGAGCTGGCTGGGTGTCCTGCGGTGGACCGCAAAGCAAGTTGAATCATGGAGGTCGAGGTCGAAACTTCGGGTTCCCCCATTCCAAACGATCAACTCCCCAGATACGGCTACACACCTCTTCGATCCAAGGAACTCATCCGATTGATCCATTTCGTGCCGACATTGGACGCAAAGATAGTTCTGTCCCTCTCGGAGCACATTCTCAAAGATGCTCCGCCTTACCAAGCGCTCTCGTACACATGGGGCGATCCCTCAAACGTCCGGGATATCACCATCCTTACACCAATCACGACGTCAGCGTCGCACGATGGAAGTGTCTCCCAGTCCTATCCACTTCATGACCGCCTAACCCGTTTCCGTTTCCAAGATCGTGTTTCGATACGGGCCCTTGGGTTGGATACCTCGTCTCAGCAAGAGGTTTCTGCCGCCACTTTGTCCGTAACCTACAACTGTTATTCGGCCCTTCGTCGCCTGGCATATCTCCCCGTTCACAGTGATCGTGCGGTATGGATCGATTCCATCTGCATCAACCAGGATGATATCCAGGAGCGCAACAGCCAAGTTGCACTGATGTCCCGGATCTACTTGCGTTGTCTTCGTCTTGTCATTGACGTAGGCGATGAATCTCCGACCAGCGACGCCGCCATTGACTTCATCGTACAGTATCATCGACATCGCGAGGCCGGCAAGCTCGATGAACATGGTGTTTATGATATGACGACGGGGCTGCATATCAGAGACATAATCAGCGAGTTCTACGCTCGTCCTTGGTTCTCACGCATCTGGGTACTTCAAGAGGTTTACCATGGGGCGCGAAGTTTGCGGGATGAACGCTTCCCCGCCTTGCTCAACTGCGGTAGACGATCGGTCGAGTGGTCGAAGTTCCGACCGCTGCACATAAACGTTGATTCTCGCCCAGCAGGAGAGACCGAGAATTGGTATATTGAACTCCCCACAGTCGCTGCTCTGCCCCTCGTTCTTCGCATCGTGCCCCGTGGCTGGGGAGGCTCCATCTCCGTGGACGACAAGAAGTTGAGTTGGCCGCGATACGTGGTTGATGACCGATATACTCTCGATCTATTGTGCCTTGCGCGAATTAATAAGGCGACTGATCCTCGGGACAAAGTGTTCGCTCTGTTGTCCCTGCAGGAGTTTCTTAGTAAGGACTTTCCGCTGAAGCCTGACTATGGTAAATCCATAACAGAGGTATACGTGGAAACCGCAGTGTGGTTGTTGCGGAGGGTAGGTCTGTTGTTTCTCAGCTGTTGCGGAACGATGCGGGAAAAGTGTCTCGGTGTGCTCGAGGGACTCCCTTCATGGGTGCCCGACTGGAGTGAGAGGTATTTGGAACAATGGATGATTGGGTTCGGGGAGGTATATACGCCTTTGCGGGCAGGCGGTGATCCGCCAATCTCCTACCAGTCTGGGCCGGCACTACCTCAAACGGTAGCGACGACAATACTTAACGCAGGTATCCATAACCGTGGGAGGGCACTGCTTAAGGTGCGTGGCGTATCTGTCGACAAAATCAAGTTTGTGAGTGGTCATATCAACATAAGATATGCTGGCGACAACGAGTGTGAAGATTTCGTGAAGAGGTGCCGATTATATCGTGAGGGTTTGAACCGGAGATTTGAAGACGCAGCAGATGGACACATGCGACTTACAGGAGCAGCTCGTCTTTCAATACCTCGACAGTGGACACCCAAAACAGGAGAGAAGCGACTTCATCCACCTGACTGGGCTGCATACGAGTATGGACTTCCGCTTAAGAACCCAGAAACTTTGACAGACAATGAGGTGTGTGACTACATCAGTTTCTTCACAGCCAATAGGCAGTTGGCTATGACGGACAGGGGATACTTTGGTGTTGTTCCTCAAAGATCTTCGGTTGGAGATCAGGTCTGTTGTTTTCTGAGCGCCGGTGTTCCGTTTGTCCTGAGGGATAGGGATGATGGAACCTACTCGCTGATTGGGGAATCGTATATATACGGTTTGATGGAGGGAGAGGCCTTTGGCGGGGCGGACAAGGCGAATGACATGATGGAGACTCAGGATACGGTACCCATTGATCCACTCCAGGACTTCTTCATCTCTTGATGGCTGGCGAGGCACCGACCCGGCATGTACGGGGTGCTGTAAATAATGTCGATTACTATTACTTAGGGCTGTTAGGTAGAGATATAACTGCAAGTCGAGCCTTACCTCGCATCAGGTTTGTATGCTGTGACCCCGATACCCATTGTCCAACAGAACCAACGCAGCGATGCTCTAACTGGTAGCCTCCCTGCATCACGAGTGGAAACTACGTCCAGAAAGAAAGTAGAAGAAAATAACCATACCCAATAGCGCCACCAGGATCAGAAATGTGCTGCAGCATATATCTGCCATGGTCCGCAAGCGTTGTCTTTGCGCTCCTATGTCACTGTCCGTCTCTTTCTGCCACTAGTAGAGTCCCTGGAAGCTACCCGTGCCATCTTGGGAGTCGTAGCTTTGCTGGTCGAGGTCAAAGCTCTGAAGGCTTGTTTGCAAGGCTTTTTGTGGAGTTCGTGGGAGGGGTTCTTGAACCAACGTTGATTCTGAAGGTGCCTCTTCGGAGTGGATAGATGCTTCCAGCCTAGAAGGAGATGCTGGTATAAGTGTGAAGCTGGGGCGTGGCAGAGGCGGATGTGCAGATTGTGCTGTCAACTGCGGCATAGTGTGACTTTCAGACATGGTCGTTGTGTTTCGAGGACCTTTCCAGTACCCACAACGGGCCCTCAGGAGGAGGCAAGAGAGAGTTGCGATCGGGTACGAAGAGCGTTAGGCAGGGAGAGGAAGTCTACTGTAGGATAATGGTAGTCAGCAACGATGGTTCTGAGGCGAGACAGTTCGGTCGTGGTACTTACACTTTGAGGAACGCGTTGTCGTGGTTCAAACCTAAAGCTCGACTCGGACGTCGGCTCGGATGTGGAGGTATCTCAAATGCCGCCTTCGAACTCGCAACAAGGATGGAAAGGTATCAGCGGAGTTGATCTGGTGACAATGTGAGGGAGGACCAGGCGTGGGTTATCGATCGAGTCTTGTGATGGAACTAAGTTATGCTGGAAGATGAACTAAGGTATCCCAGAGAAGAGACAACTGGAGAACCTCCCGGCAAACCCCAGAGCATCATGACCCCTCCGTTTTCAAGTTCGAGTCTTTTTGCCTTGTCAACTGCGTGTTGTTCTTTCCTGTTTTTGTCAAAAGTAAAGAAACGAAAGATGGAAAGATCCGGATGGAAAATGCAAATGATACCTAGAAAAAGGTGCACTGCAACCCCGCGCGACTTCCACTTCCAGGTACCTTACCGCTTGCCCTGGCATTGTAGGGCAGCACTGGCAGGCACTGGCAGGGTGCCTGGGCGGATCTTGCCGTCTGACGTAGCGTAGGTACCGGCAACAAGGTGTACAGTGCTGGGTGAGAACCTTAAATGCCCTGACCCAGCTTCTTTCTCCAAACTCCACCCACCGGCCCCGATTTCTATTTTCTCCTCATGACCCACATGATGAAGAAACACCAAACCATTGTCATCGTCGGGAGCCCTCCAAGACACATTATTGCCGCAACAACAAACACACAACGGCCGGAATGATCCCGACAATGGCGCCAATTGGGAAGCAGCTGAATCACTCCCGCCAACGGATCGGCTCCGTGATGGACAGCAAGACTGGGATTGCACAGACCACATAACCCCACACGCTGGCAAACCTCGGCCGGGGCGAGAGATTTGGCCATGTTCTTGTGAACGCGCTGTCAATATTTAAACGCCCATCCAACCCTCCTCCGCCCGGCCCCCGTCCGTTGCGCGCTTGTATACCCGACCCCCGGCCGAAGTGCTACACCGAAGCGACCCACGCATCATGGCTTCCGAAGACTCCACTTTCGACATCATCATCACCGGCGCCGGTCTGAGCGGCATCAACGCCGCCTACTTGCTGCAATCCGAGCTGCCTAACCACTCCTTCACTGTCCTTGAGTCACGCGACCATATCGGCGGAACATGGGCTTTCTGGAAGTATCCTGGCGTCCGCTCCGACAGCGCCATGGCCCTATTCGGCTTCCCTTGGTACCCGTGGACCGAGGGCACCAACATGGCTGATGCCCATCTCATCAAGAAATACATGGAGGGCGCTGCTGCGTCCCAGGGTATCGACAAGAAGATCCGCTTCAACCACCGCGTCACTTCAGAGAGCTGGAGCAGCGAGGAGCAGAGATGGACGTTACACGTCGATGTCACTTCCGGTGACGGCACCGTTCTCGAGAAGAAGATCTTCAAGACGCCATGGCTAGTCAACGCCACCGGGTACTACAGCTACGAGAAGCCCCGGCCCACTGTCATTCCCGGCATCGAAAGGTTCCAGGGTGAAGTGGTACATCCCCAATTTTGGAATGACGAGGTGCAGTACGATAACAAGCGCATCATCATCATCGGCTCAGGTGCCACCGCTATCACCCTCCTTCCCGCCCTCGCCAAAACTGCCAAGCATGTCACTATGCTGCAGCGTAGTCCATCATATGTCGTCAGCTTGCCAGCTAGAGACAAACTTATGCAGTTTATGGAAAGGTTCATGCCAATCCAGTGGGCGGGAAAGATCAACTGGTGGATCAGGATGGTCGCTGAGACTCTCTCTGTCCAGCTGCTTCTGAACTTCCCCAACTGGGGAAGGAAGTCTGTCGTTGACGCGATGCGCAGGCAGCTTCCCAAAGGTTTCGATGTCGACAAGCACTTCAACCCTCGGTACAATCCCTTCGAGCAGCGCTTGTGCCTTTGTCCACGGGGAGACTTCTTCGAGGCTTTGCGTGGCCCCAACGCTTCCGTTGTTACCGATCATATCGAGACCGTCACCGAAAACGGCATTTTGCTCAAGTCCGGCGAGACCCTCGAGGCCGACATGATCATCACCGCCACTGGTCTATACATGAGTTTACTTAACAAAATCGACGTTTTTGTGGATGGTGTCCGCATCAATGATACCATCGGCCAGCGGTACATGTGGAACGGAGTCATGCTCGAAGGTATCCCCAACACAGGCGTTATCACCGGATATGTGGCAGCCACTTGGACTCCTGGTGCCTCCACAAGGACACAACAGTTCATCAAGGTCATTAAACATGCGGAAAAGACGGGAGCTACCATTGCCACCCCTTATATCGACGAGGCCAAGCGTGCACGACTTCCCAAGGAACCCTGTATTCCCAACAGCTCGACCTACATCGCAGAAGTTCGTGACCGACTTCCTCTTGTCGCCAATGTGGGTCCTTGGAGGAACGGAAAGAACTGGTTGGAGGATGCCATCCGGTTGTGGTTCGGATGGGTCACAACTGGTATGCGGTTCACTTCATGGAACCGGGCCAAGAGCGACTAAGTTATCGCCTGTCCTCCAGTTTTGGAAAGTGGTGTAAAAACGCCTGGCATCTCCAGTTGGGCGAGTGCTTTTGCGCCATGCTGAGTCCTGACATATCCAGATCCTTACCCTATAAAACCAAAGAAATAGTAATGTAATCCATCCAACCTCCATTTCTCCGTTTACGGGTTCTGGAATGTCCCAGTCACCTTCTGGATGATCGAGAATGTTTTTGTCTCCTTTTTAGCCGTCGTACTCTTGGTTCTCTCTCAGATGGCGGAACCCCCTAGGCCATATACCTTGCTTGCCTGGGGATAGAATGCCCTTGGGGTCCAGAGTGTCCTTTCCAACATGGTAAGTCTTTCCTCATTCGTATACTTGACTGGTGAAGACTTACCTTGATGTTCTCAACAAAGCGGTTGTAGGCGTGTCCGTTGAAGTCGTTCAAGCCCGCAATCAGATCTGTCAAGTGACGCATCAGCAACTCTTCGATCCTGCTCTCGACACGCCAACGCTCACCCATGTGGTTGACATGCGCTCTGTACATGCCATACCCCCTCTCCTTCGCTACCTCATGAAGGCCATAATACAGCTTTTTGATCTTCTGTTTTTGCACAGGATCCGTCTGGTCCCAGGTAAACATATTCATCAACACCACATGCCTCTCATGCATGAAGAAATCCGCCATCAGCTCCACTCCGTTCTCCTCGCAAATCGGCTTACTCTTCTTCATCCACTCCATCACCAGCTTCCCCGACGACGGGATCACCGGCGCATAATCCCCATGCGCCGCCTTCCCATCCGTCTTGCTCTTCGGAATCGGCCAGTTGATCAACGGCAAACTCCAAAGCTGCGGCACACCAACAAACATGCTCCCATGTTCCACCGGCACCTTACCCGCATTCACCCCTTCTTCATCAGCATACAACGTCCCCGAGATCGTCCCCGTAGGCGCCTTCTTCGCCAACACCTCCTTGATCTCCTCAAACTGCGCCTTCACCACCTTCCTCGGCCCGTACAGCCCCCATCGCGCATACCAATGCCCATACCCCGTCTCCAGCCTCAGCTCCTCCAGCCGCCAATCCGGAATTGGTCCTTCTCCCTTCCAGTAATCCTCTCTCCTGCCAGCGATACACAACGTCTCAATCAACGAAGTGAACCACACACAACTCGGGATCGTTCCATTGCGCCGCATCTCGCCAAAGGCGTCGACCATGACTTCCAGGTCGTCGAAGAAGGGCATGCTGAAGCTACACGACATGAACGCCTGCGGCTGTGGTTGCAGCCAGATGGACATTTTGGTGACGACTCCCAGGTTGGATTGCAGGAAGAGGCCCTCGATGGAGGGGCCGTAGGTGAATTTCGACAAGAAAGCGTTGGGCGAGTCGTTGGCGGTTATCCCCCATTGTCCGGTACGGACGAGGTCGCCGGAGGCGAGCATGACTTCCATGCCGGCGATGGATTGGTGGTGGGTGAAGAGGGCGCCGAAGCCGGTGCCGCGGTCTAGGGTCTTGAGGTCGCTTTTGTTAGCATACATCGGTCGTCGTTCAACACGGTAAGAGGGAAGGGGAGGAAAAGAAAGACTCACATTCCCCATCACACTCCCCCACCCCAAGCTCGCCGTGCTCGGCCACACCTTCTTTCCGTGCTCAACACAATGCCGATACAAGTCAATAAACGTCACACCGGGCTCCACGACCGCGTAGTGGAATTGATCATTAACTTCGATAATCTTGTCCATTCTGTGCAAATCCAGCGCCACGGAGCCGTTCACTCGCGGTGCCGGCCCGCCATATCCCAAGTTCTTGCCCCTCGAAAAAGTCCACAGCGGGATGGTGAACTCGTTGGCAATCTTCAGTATGGCGCTCAGCTGGTCTGTGGAGCTGGGGCAGACGGCTGCGCTGGGGACTTTGCGCTTGTCCGTTGCTGACTCGGCCTCGTGAAGGTCGTATGGGTCGATGTAATCGGACATCGCAGAGTCGATGAGGACGGCGTCTTGGTCGAGGACGGAGACGAAGGCTTGGATGGCTTTGGTCCAGGTTTCTTGGGTGATGCCGGGTGGGAGGACGGGGTTGATGGGATAGCGGGGGGTGCGCTCGTAGGTGGCTTGGTGAGCGGCTTCGTATTCGGGGTCGGGGTAGGTTGGGGGGATTTCGGTTGACATGTTTGCGGTTGGTGGTCAGGATTCTCGGGCAGTGTGAGAAGCGTGTGTGATGATCTGGACTGCAAATATGGGGTTGATGAGGTGTTTTTTTACGGGTTGCAGACGGTAGGTATCACAACTACCGCCAGACCTAGACCCCTCCCGCTTTCCCCTCATTGTTGTTTGTGGCTTTCAATACCACATATATATGTTATAGCCAGCGGGTAATATGGACTGAACCATGAACTACATCCGTCTGGGATCCGCTAAAGGCTTTCGGCAATAAATCTGGCCAGAAATAAACTGTGTCGGATTCCAACGAAACATGCAGGGTCCTGCGGTATCAGTCCGAGGAGCCCAAAGGAGTAGGGTCTCTCTCGCTGTAACGCGGCTTTCCCAACTTGGGCGCAGGCGGATTCCGAAGTCCCGATGTGTGATAAAATCGAGAGGAAGGGTTGGGTAGATGATGGAAAGTTGGTTTGAGGTAAACGCCCAATATGGTGTCGGTGATGTATCACATCATGGTCCTGTTTTTGAACAAAGCAAATGGCGTGTGAAGGACCACACAACCTTCCACGATAAGCGGCACCTCACTTGAGATACGGAAACCGGCATGATATTGCACAAACTACTAAAATTCGCACATAGCAATGACGATGACCAAAGGTGAAACGAAGATCAGGCAAAAAGTAAAAAGACAAGGAAGGGAAAAGATCAAAAGGAATGCAAAAACACAAAAAAGAGGATGAAAGCCCGACGTGGGAATCGAACCCACAGCCTCAAGATTAGAAGTCTTGCGCGCTACCGATTGCGCCAGCCGGGCTGTTGTTGCTGAATTTTGGCCGGGTTTATGCCCCATAAGGTGGCCTTCCCGCAGAACTGCTTTGTCAGCCGGCTAGGTGTTGACGGCCAAAATTTCTCCCTCCCAGGACTCTCAGGAACGAATTGTTTTTTTTTGCTCCACCAAAAAAACATGGAGCTCCAAAACATGGGTGCACCATGATGCAAATCCGTCCACTGACGTTGCCGCTATTTCAGTCCGCTTTCAGTCCGTTTTCAATCGGCAAGGAGTCCAAGCCAAGACATTGACAGGCGGATGCAAGCTGCGGCAAGTGGAATAAAAAACTCTCCGTCATGTTCGCTTCAAGGAATAGTTTAGCTTGGCGCGGTTGGCTTTTCTGATGTTGTTGCACAAAGGATACGGGCGGTTGGACAGGTCCCCTTTTGGGAGGCGCACAGAGCTTGTGACGGAACTGCCCTGGCGGGCGTTCTGGTAGGCGACTCCTGGGCGTAGGGGTGCGGCGCAGCGTGCGCGGGGTCTTGCCCGCGTGCCTGCGCGGGGATGTCGGGCACAGCCGGAGCCTGGGCCGTCAGCCCCGGAGGGGCATTGTTGATTGTTCTACTTTCGAGTCACGTCGTCGCGGCGGCGTCTAAGTTTCTTTATCCTGGAATTTGAGACTGGCTGACAGCGCGTAGAAGAAAACTAGAAAAGCAGCACAGCGGCCTGTAGCGATATCACTTACCGAGAAAAATCAGCACAGAAACGCCATCCGAAGAAGAAGCACATCGAACAAATTTAGCAAATGGCATCGCAACAACATGTCGTCCGGGTGGGCGTCGCGGCGATCATCAGCGATGCGGAGGGGAAGATGGTGGTGGGAGTGAGAAAGGGGTCCCATGGAGCCGGTACGTACCTCCCACGTCTAGACAGTCCTTCAGCTCTTCCCCTTTCCCTGTTCGTTACACGGACTTCCTAACAGCATCGCTTTGCTTACATGGACCACCTCTAACTGGACAACAGGAACATTGCAATTTCCCGGTGGCCATCTCGAAGTCGGCGAGAGATCCTTTGACTGCGCCGTAAGGGAGACGCTGGAAGAGACGGGCCTGGAGGTCATCGCTAAGAAGACTGTGACCTTCACCGAAGATTACTTTGATGCGGAGAACAAGCACTACATCACCATCTTTGTCTCTTGCAAGAGGCGTGATGAGCAGGAGCAACCTGTGGTAAGTCTTGCCAGCCAGTTGTCCAGACTTTGGAAGAATGTGTACGCTAACCTGGTTGTCTTCTCCAGATAATGGAGCCAAAGAAGTGTGAGAGCTGGACGTGGAGAAGTGAGGCTGAGCTCAGGGAGATCATGGCCACTGAAGACGGCAAGAAGCGACTCTTTTTGCCCATCGTCAACTTGTTCGAGCACGACCGCCGGTTCAAGGAGCATGGCAGTCTGACGGATTTTCTTAGAGAATCCGACTGCAGCGCATCGCCCTCTGAGACAGAAATATGCAGTTCGCTATGATGAGGATGCAGCCAGCTCGTGTTATGTTTACATCCGAGTGGTGGCCATGGCCAGGGAAAAGGGGGAGGGCCCGTGCGCCTGGTGTCCATAACGTCGAGCGTCGACGCTGATCCAGGGTTTGAGCGAGATATCTCTGGAGTTCTGGGGTTCTTTTTTTGTTACAGCTGGATCTGGCAATTAGTTTCCTCCGAATGAAGTTGAGGATGCGGCGGCTCGGGTGGATATGGCTGATATGCTATGGTTTGTTTGGTCCCCTTTCTGTTCTTCATTTTTCACCCAAGCCATCTCCACTCTCGTTCCGATCACAGCCTAGACGGTCTTGGGACGGTCTTGGGACGGGCCTGGACGTGACCGTATTTCAAAACAAGCATCGCCCATTTCTTGAGAACCTCGATGTTCTGGATGGCTGTGGATCCTCGTGTCCGTTGTGATGTGCAAGACTTGTTGGGCAACGCAGAGCACGTAGGGGTTTCTCAACCCGTTAGAGTGTCTGGTGGACCTTGCCCCTCCAAGAAAGTTCAAGGCCAAGCGGACTTGTTACCCATGTGGTTTTGATCTCTGCGCTCGAGGCAAGATGAGTGCTAGCCGCTCAAATAATATCTCATTCATCATTGTCTTGCTCAAAGACTCGTTGAGCCGCAAGCTTTCGTGTCCAGGAGGGGACTCAGGGGGGGCATAGACTTGTAGCCAGCTGAGCTTCCCTTCTTCTCACCACTCTTTTCATGAGGCCTGGTCATTGAAGGAAACGAAGATAACCTCCACTGCGCAGCAACGGAGAATTTTTGACCAAAGAAAAAGACGGTGAATGAATCACGCAAGAAAGAATTTATCACATGACACCGCAGAGATGAAGTGTTATCAGATAGACTAGAAAACGAAAAGAAGGTTCTTTTGACATCCATTAGCCGGTCGGCTCAGGTACGTACACCGTGCAGATTGCATCACTAAAAATGTTTCAACCAGGATAACTTTTTTCTTTCTTTTTTCTTTTGGTGTCGACAGCACGGGCCTTGGTCGAATTCGACAACCGACATACCAATTACCAAGGCACTGAGTCACCAAAAATATCACGGTCTACTTACATAGATTATACTTTCCGATAAACCCTATCATTGACCGCCCTCTTTCCGCCTCTTTGGAGAACACTAAAAGGCGCTAATCCGGGCAGGTCGGAGGACTATCGGACCCCTCGTCTGAGATTGGTTTCGCTTCTGGACTTTGAATTTTTGACCTGGTCTGCGATCCTCGGCCAGCGTGTTGCAGACCAGCCTCTACGCAATCACCCTGGCCCTGAAACTGGCGAAAACTGGAACGTGCACTTTGTTGTTCATCTCTTCAACATCCATCATCCATGCTGTGCCCGACAAATTGTGGACGGGACGATTTCTGCATCTTTCAATGTTGACAGATCTAGCCTAAATAGGCTAGCCCACCTCAGAAGGAAGCTCCGAGTTCCTTCTAACAGGGAGCCTAAGACTGTCAAAGCAGGTCTAGTTAAGGCAGTACCTGACACTGGCTAGCATCCCCACAAAAAGCAAAAGATCAGTCACTTTTTGCCCCACCCAGTGTCCCGAGGAATTGACTGCGCTCCCGTCTGGCGGCGTTGGTGCCGTGACGGGAGTGCGGGTTGTGAGTGGTGAGTGGCAGGCTGCAACGCTGTGCAAGGCCTGCTGCCACTCTTGCTAGGGTCACTCATTCTCGTCGATCTAGAAAACGCCCACGGCTTTCATCATCCAGCACACCACACAAAACGAACGGGCGCCCAGTGCATGTTCCCCTCCATCCCACCATTGCCCTGCCCGCCCTGAATGCTCCTCCACCGGACTCCTTCGCCACGGTGATCTTGTCATCGAAAACCCCATCTCCTGGCACCACCACTCCGCCAATTCCCGCCCCTCGCAGAGACCGACTCCAACCAAAACCATCAAGTCAGCAGGACTCTCCAGCTTGGATTCCACGTTGGCGCCATCCAGGACTGAGCTCTTTTCTCCTTCGACTCGAACCCGCGGCAGGCAGTCGAGCCATTAGTCGGGCTGCCAGTCAAGTTAGGCAGTGCTTCGTGGAGCTTCATCGTCCGAGTCGGGACGTCTACACCGAATCCGTCCTCCAACGCTCGCCGGGCACTCAAAGCTGCGTCATCATGCCTATCGACGACAACCAGAGCGCGATTAGCGTCGCCTCGGAGGGGAGTCCATGTGTCGACCACCCATCCATTGGGCCCTCCCACGATAGCTTCGACATTCACCAACATCATCTTGTCGCCCACCACCCGCCACCGGGCGCTTCTGTTTACCCCCCATCGGCCCCCTTTTCCGGTGCTCTGAACCCTCGGAGTTGTGTAACATGTCGGAGACGCAAGGTTTGTCTTTCGTCCGCTCCTCACGCCCCGTGCCGCCTCGTCCTTTCCGGGCCCGTCTGCATGTCGTGCACCCGCTGACACCTTATCAGGTTCGGTGCGACAAACATATGCCATGCTCCAACTGCCGGAGAGCACAGATTCCATGCATCTTCCCGGCCCCTGGTCGGGCGCCGCGGCGACCAAGACCAAAAGACCCGAATGCGCCGTCGAAACAACCTTCGAGCGAGCGGGAGCTGGAACTGATGAAGCGCCTGCGAAAACTCGAGGGAATTGTCGAAGAACTTAGCGGTCAGATCGAACTTGAGGCGGTGCGACACCCGCTTAGCTCCAGTAACTCTCCTGAAGGTACGGGAGTACACGATGCGGACGGCCACACGCCTGGTGCAACCCGAGCCGCCGATAAAGCTGGAACCCCGAACGGAAGCAATTTTGGCAAGAACTCGCCCTCCACTGGAACCGGTATGGGCACAGATAGGAGTGGCGCGCATGGCCTGCAGACACAACTCAACAGACCTCCTTTTGGCCCATTAAGGAGGATATCATCAGACATCCACAAACAGTTTGGTCGCTTGGTCCTCAATGAGAAGGGTGTCACCAGATATGTCAGCAGTGGATTCTGGTCTGCCATCAATGACGAGGTAGGGCGTTCCCTCTTGTTACTTCCCCATGCATAATACTCACCCAGACACAGCTCGACGAAATCCGTCGAGAAACAATCAATTGCGGCCACCATGATTCCGACGACTCCGACGACGAGGGTTCTCCCGAATCCGTTGACCAACCCGTCAGCCATTCAGATCATCAGTCTTTCATCTTCGGGTACCGCTCCGCCGATGTCGACTTAAGACCCCTGCACCCGCTCCCGTCGCAAATCCCCTTTATGTGGCAGGTATTCCAGGAAAACGTTGATCCAATACTCAAGGTGCTTCATGTCCCTTCGATGACCAAAACAATACGCCACGCCCGGAACAACATGGACAGCCTCACGCCTTCGACTGAAGCCTTGATGTTCGCCATCTACTATTCTGCCGTTGCCTCCATGGATAAAGATGAAGTATGCCCACCCCTGTTACTCTTTGTTTTTGGTCCTCTTCTCACATTGTATAGGCCAAAATGAACTTCGGCGCCGAAAAGGACTATCTCGTACAACAATATCGATTCGGTTGTGAACAGGCCCTAGCGAGAGCCAACTTTACGACGACGCCCGATATCACCCTCGCCCAGGCATTCCTCCTCTTCCTCATTCTCGTTCGCCGCCAGGATGACACGAGGTTCGCCTGGACCTTGACTGGCCTACTTATTCGCATCAGCCAGGCACTGGGCCTTCATCGTGACGGAACGAACTTCCCCAACATCAGCCCCTTCGAGGTCGAAATGAGGCGCCGTATCTTCTGGGCTGTATGTGTCTTGGATCTCCGCTCTGCCGAGGACCAGGGTACCGATCTCACTCTCGTCGACCGTACTTTTGATACACAGCTTCCTCTTAACGTCAACGACTCCGATATCTCGCCAGATATGAAGGATTTCCCCGAGTCACGAGACGGGCCGACGGACATGACCTTCTCCTTAATCCGGTACGAGATTTGCACTGTGGCGAGACGTTTGCACACGGCATCGTCCGCCATGGCGCCTGTCTGCCCGGTGGATGCTGAAAGCTCGCTAGAAGAGCGAGAGGAAATGCTTGCCGAGTTACACAGGCGTGTTGAGGAAAAGTACCTCCGGGATCGCTCTTGCCTGGATAATCCCATGTACTGGGTGGCTGCAAACATTGCGCGAGTCATGGTTGCCAAGATGACCCTGGTGATATACCAGCCCGTGCTGTTCCCAGGACCCGACAGTGAAGAGTTGTCGGATGAGCTACGGGAACGTCTCTTTAACTCCGCTATCGAAGTATTCGAGACGAACCACATCCTTAATACCAACCCAAAGTCCAAGCCATGGAGGTGGCTATTCCTGACATACACACAATGGCAAGCCGTGGCGTATCTCCTAATCGAAGTTTCGCACAAGGCTTGGGGCCCTGCGTCAGAGCGCGCTTGGGGTGCTCTGAACTCGGTGTATACAGCACCAAAAGAGTATGAGCTTGAGAAGCTTGCATCCCATACAGCTGTTTGGCTCCCTATCAAGAAGATGTACTTCAAGGCCAAGAGGCATCGTGAAGCGGAGACCGCCCGTCTTCGTGCCAATCCTCAAGCTGCCATGCAGCTCGAGCTGGAAGACCAGTCCAGACCCGCCCCGACCACTTTCGGAGCATTGTCAGTCACAGAGGAGATTAGCATCACAGTAGCCCGTGAGCGCTGGAGGAAACTCGTCAATGCGCCACCCTTACCAGTTGAGCCGGTGCCACCCCCGAGGCAGCCAACGCCCGAGATCCCCCAGACTGTACAACAGCAAACCAACGAAGTTCGCACTGATGACAACAGCCACCCTACCGAGAATATGGGTGTTCCAAAACCAGAGATGATGGACTTCCTAGACCCCACCATGGCCGACCAAGCTTTTAATCCCCAAGAATTCATTCCTTTATGGCGGGGACCTTCTTTCGACCCGAGTCGTCCACCTGTCTACGGATTTCCCAATGGCGACATTCCACGGATTGACAGCGCGGCGAACTTCAACCCTGCAACAATACCCGACTTCAATCGCAGCACCACACCGGCACCCGCAGGCGGTAATCAGCTGCACCACACGCCTGGTCCGGGGCCAAACATGAACACAGCTCGGGGGATGCAGGTACAGTCGCCCGTGAAAGACGAGAATGCCCCATGGTTATGGCCCGGTGCGGGGTTACCCGAAATGCTCCGGGTACCCAATTTCCAGGTCGAAGATATGGACGTTAATATGGACGAGAGTTTCGACTGGCAAAACTGGCAGGAGAGCCTTGGTAGGTTCGAGATGGAAACTAATGGCGGGTCAGCGGCCACCAGCACTTGGGGTCCAGCAATCTAGAAACCAAAAGGAGTAATAGTAGATGGAATGGCGTATTGGACGATCTTGTTTTTGGGTAATCCCTTGTTTGTTGGCTGGAGCATGTCAGTCTTTTTGGATGTCGCACTTTTGGAAAGCTAGGACGAGGCTGCTTTGTCTGTCTCACGAGTTATGTTATAGATACCCGTTGACCTTGCAAGCCCAGTACCTTTTCTGCTTTTCGCCTTTGGCGGTTGTTTCTCATTGGGATGGACTGTAGCAGTGGCCGAGATCATGTGCTCCTTTCCGTACAGCTAGGCTGCTTCGTGGAAGACCGAGACTCTCCAGCTACAGTCAGTGGCTTGCATCGTGTGGCTTCAGAACCGCACCACTCACGACGCGCGCCACTCGCGACGGTGGCATCGCAATCCACCGATGGATGTCATCGAGCGGAACTGATTTGGCGACTGCATCATACCGCTGACAAGCTGGGCACCCTTAGGAGCAAATCATCCATGTTGCACTGCATGACAGTACCCATGATTGGTCTGCCACGAAAACGCCCTCCATTCTCCCTTGGTCTGCGAACGGTAACGAAATGGACGAAAGTGGTTCTGGTCATGGCTGCCTAATATCAGGACTGTGGGACGCATTTCGTGCATTTACTCACACTCACGACCTTTCGGAGACTGGACCATTTCCATCGTGTTTGGCGACATTCCACTACGCGCTGCTAATGTATACGCCTCACAGAGACCCAGATCAATGAATCCATCCTCTGGCGCTCTACGCATTTGACTTCCCGCCGCACTCGATAAGCCGCCCTCAACCACATCAATCCCCTTGCCCTGACGGATACTATGGATCCTTTAAGCGCTCTATCGGTGGCAGCTGCAGTCGTGCAGTTTGTTGACTTCGGATTTGGCCTCGTCAAAAAAGTTTCAAATATTCGCAAAGATGCAGCTGTTGTTCACGAAAGGGTCGTGTAAATCGAGAGGCTTTCTGAGGAACTGCTTGAACTATCGGGACAAATCCAAGAGAGAATGGCGCTTCTTCAGCGGCCTGATGGTCTGCTCACCGTGGTGGAGATGCGACTTCTGGAAGCGTGTGACAACTGCAAGGCCATGGGGGAGCAGATCGCCGAGTCCATCCCTAAGATACAGGAGAAGGGAGTCAACAGTGTTAAAGTTGGTGTTTCTCCTCCTGCGCGGAAGGACCTGGTCGTTGGCGCTCTCAAAGACTGCAAATCGATGTATTCCGACTTTCGAAACGCTCTGCAACTCGTCCTGGCAGAAGGCCGCATTGTGGATCTAGAACGAAACCGCGAATCGACAAAGTCAACATTGATGCTGACGATGATCTCAAACTTATGGTACGTAATATCTTCTACACTTGTTCATTATTCCGTCTGCTAATTGACTTTGACCTAGGGAGCGTTCGACCCGAATGCAAAGACCGCCCCCCGAGTCCTCGAGTACGACGACTTCTGATACCGAAACACTTGGGCAACAACTTCAGTCGGACAGCGCACGCAAGAAATTCGAGTCATTGATGCATCCTGGTTCGGAACATATGCAACATCAAGATAGAGAAATTCCCTCATGGACGGAGCAACAGCTGAGCGACGTTGACTGTATCGAAACTCTTCTGCAACAATTAAACTTCGGATCACTGGAGAACCGCCATGAAGCCATACCGGAGGCGTACGAGAAGACATACAGCTGGATTTTTGAGCAGCCCCAAACACCTGGAAGCAATTCGGACCACCGTCTTTGGGGAGATTTTTCGAACTGGCTCGAACACGATTCAGAAGGCGTGTACTGGATTACCGGTAAACCGGGGTCTGGAAAGTCCACACTGATGAAATTCATCTTTGGCGATGAACGGATGAATGCACACCTACGCAAGTGGTCTGGTCCGAAACCGTTTTATACTGCCGCATATTTCTCCTGGAATGCCGGCGATGAGCTGCAGAAATCTCAGGAAGGCTTGTTGCGCAGTCTTCTTTACCAGATTATTCGACAGGCCCCTCAAGTTGCCCTCAGGTTGCTACCTAATCGATGGGCCATGCTCAAGCTGTTTGGCGTTAGCGCCGCACGCGATTTCCCTGCATGGAGCTATAAAGAACTTCGGGACTGTATGGCCTCGATAAAACACCTTACAAAGGACTTCAACCTCACCATTTTCATCGACGGATTGGACGAATTTGAGGGAGAACATGCTCAGCTTATAGACCTCATCAAGGATCTCCATCGTCAACCTGGCATAAAAGTTTGCGTCAGCAGTCGGCCGTGGAATGCGTTTCGTGACGCTTTCAGTGGTTGTCCCCAACTTCGCATGGAACTTCTCACCAAGAAGGATATGGAAGCATTCGTTCAGGGGAAATTCGACACCAACATAGCTATTGCAGAACTCCGGCACGACCAACCTACAATCACTGATGGGCTGGTGACAGACATTGTTCGAAAGTCTGATGGTGTTTTTCTTTGGGTCTCGCTGGTCACCGACTCGGTTCTTGGCGGGATTGTCGATGGCGACACGTTGGCCGATTCATATCAGCTACTCGACGAGCTTCCCAGTGATCTCAGCGATCTTTACGATAATCTCTGGTCTCGTGTTGAATCTGAACACAAAGGAGAAAGGGCTCAATTACTTTGTGTACTGGATAAGTACTCTCACTCAGAGTCAGAGTATTTCAGGCACGTGGAATATAGTGCTCCTTTTTTTGTTCAAGGTTTACATCAGACGCTTCTCTGGTTTTCGGTATTGGAAGCAAAATCTCCGTTTTCCGCGGGAACCTTTGCAAGGCGACTGCACAGCCGTACGAAAGGACTTTTAGAAATCAAGCCGTCAGGCTATATTGACTACTTGCACCGGACGGCACACGATTGGATTACAGCGAGATGGGAGGAAATCCAATTTGAAGTCCCACCAGATTTCGACGCACATATGGCGTTGGTGACAGGTTTAGCAAGCACTGTTCACTCGGCGATATATGGATTCTGCTGTGGCGACTCGTATACTTGGATACTTTTGGCTTTTTATCACCTCTCCATGGTTTCAGAGCAGCATCGCAATCGTTCATTTGCAGAAATTGACAGGCTGGCAGACGAGATAAGGAACGCGGCCTTCAAGGAAGCATCGGCTGGTAGTGACCAATCTCGCTACCAAGGTTGTTGGGTTTCCTCCGACCGCCAGAGTTGCAAAACCTTTGGTTTTGTCACTATGGCAGCCGCTCTCGGTGGCGCTGCTTTCCCATATGTTCAGGCCAAGATAATTGCTGAACCTGCTTACTACACCGTTGAAGGAAATAAGGAAGATCTTATCTGGTCTTTCGTCCTTGGAGAAAAATCGCCAAACATTTGGTCATGCATATCACATAAAGTACTGGATTTGACCGCGTACCAATACTTTGAAACCAGACTCGACCTCGCTAAACTATGGATGCGATGCGCCTTGAAAGGGACTAGGGATCGCGCAGCGCTGTCTTCGAAGTTGGCCAACCCACATGACGAACTGTTGGAAGCACCCTGCCAAAAATATGGAAAGAAGAAATGCCAAGTATGCTCAGGAGGCACGGCGTCGGCTCATCGTTGGAAGGAAGACTGCGCCGACTCAGATTTGTTGTTCCAGATTGGTTCCGCAAATAAGAAGACAGCGAGCCAGGTATATGTCTCATGGTTAGGTATAGGGTTATCAATCTTATGATGGATGGTTCGGCTCATATCTTGTTTACCAGTCCACAAAATAGTCAATCCCCTCTGTGATCGCGCTAGACGCTGCTCCAAAATGATCCTGTCCAGCATATTCCCTCAGCTGCAAATCCTTCATCCTCTTGCTGCCTTCAACCCGATAGAACAGCTCGCGAGTATAATCCGTCATCTGGAAGCTCTGGATTATAGCCTTGCGCTCCTGGAACGCCTCCTCCGTCTCAGTCCTCCTCTGAACCGGGAACTGTTCCAGCGCGCCATATCCGATGAAGAACTTCGGCTTCGTCTCTGTCTCCGGAGTCGAACCCGTGCCAGCAGTCCCATTACCCAATTTCGCCGTCACCTGATTCAAGATCGAGCCATTTGTTCCAGTATATCGCCGGACTAACCGAGAAGAAAGTGTCGAACCAATCCGGACGGGTGGTCAGTGCATAGATGGTGAAGATCCCACCCCATGAGTGGAGTCCGTACAGCGCCTCACGGGTGAACTCGACGTTGGGGAAGACGGTATCGTGCACCCACCCACGGACGGAGAACCTCGTCGATGAACTTGATGAAGTCATCTGCGCCGGCGGGGATGTCCTCGGGCTTAGGGAGAGGCCGACGGAAGTCAACAGCTCGTTTGAGTTAGCCCGTAAACGGCGTCAGTCAGTAAGCGGGTAGCCAGCCGATGCTGACTACGACGCTGTCGGGCTGGGGCGAATTCGACTTCGTTGCGCCGCTTGAAGGCTTCGGACTTCGGAGGCGGTCATGCCCAGGGCGTTACCGTCGAGGAGGTACCTACCTTTTGTCATGGCGTTAGTTTTGTGATCACTTCCACTTTCAGTTTTCATAAAGCTGACTCGAACGCCGGAATTACATGGCAAGAGCGGGCTTAGCCATCTCACGAGACTCCCACTTTGAAGGGCCATGAGATTTGGGATCTGGTACTCCTTTTGCTTGATGGCGTTGCTGACGTTCCATAGGGCGTGCGGTGTTGGCAAATACCGTGGGAAGGAAAGAAGGATACCTAGGGGGCGAATGTCCAGTTGCCTAGAGACACCATGATGATGTCCAACGCCTGGACCTGAAGCTGGGTGAACTTGCAAGTGTGATGAGGTTATGAAGACACATGAGGGCCAGTCTTTGTGTGCAGAAGCTGATGGTTTATATACCATCTGACATTCCCGCTTCTCTAGTCCCATAGGAGGGAGGTTGGTTCAGCTCTTGAGGTAGCACCGCAGCGTCAACCTAAGCATCGAAGAATTGGATGGTGAAGTGCGAGTGCCGCTCAGCTCGGACTTAACAACCGGTTGTTGCTTGGATTTGTTATTGCATCTTTGGTGCTTAGAAGCAACTACCAAGACTTTTTGTCATGCGCTATACGCTCCGAAGGAGGCCATTATTAGCGAGCCAAGAAAATAACATGGCGTAGAATAGATGCTGATATGAGTATGCGTTGTTCCTTAGGGAAGACATGGTAAAAGAAGAAAAAAAGGTAGCGAAAGTAATACTGCTAGAAAGAAAAGAAAAAAAGAAAAGTTGTGACAAGAGTGGGATTCGAACCCACGCCCTTTCGGACCACGGATTTCTCGGATTAAGGGTTTACCTTAACGTGGCGCCTTAGACCGCTCGGCCATCTTGCCCTGCTGATGCTGAACGGGCTCAAAATGATTATTTATAAGTGATGAAATTTGTAGTGAAAGGACTTCCGGTCTGCGGAACGGCAGTGTTAGGCACAGCGGCCCCTCGCAGGACGTAACAAGAGTTACAACCCATCACCTTCTCTTCCTCTTCTTGCCGTTCAATTCCAGTAATTCAACAACTATTATTTCTGCTTCAGGCAATTGTACTCGAATTCGGCGTCATTCCTCAGATAACGCGCGCCATTAAGTCCCTGCTGTGCCGGGAAGTCGTGCGCCACCTCGCCTGCCTCGGTCGCCCACCCAAAATTTCGTTGCTCCAGAAAACCTCCCGAGAGCTCTTTGACCGGCCCGGACTAACCAATCCGTCTACTTCAACTTCATCCGCGGTTTCTTTTTGAATATCGCCAAACTCTACCGATGAATTCTAGTACAAAAACTGGTGTGTAAGGTACACACAGCATCCGTGTGGACCCGAACACGGTGGTTGCGTTTTTCCATAGACAGCTCCTGTCGCGTAACATCAACCAGCCGCACCATTACCGAGACAATGATCTGACCCAAAACCCCTCGAACCTTTTTCTCGTGACATTCCGCGATACCCAACAGCCTCAACATTTGCAACTCCATAGATCACATCACAGAATCGCGCCTTTGGAATACCTTGTACAATGTCAGTCACCCCCGAACAGATTGCAAGCGACCCGGCCACAACCGATCGAGGTTCAAGGCCACCAACAACCCGGTACCACACCAGGAGAAGTTTTGGCATCCATGCAGTAGCAGATATTCAGCTACGCGATCGGGGGGCAGTAATTGGCTGAGAACCACTATCGGTTTCCGATGTGCTTTTTGGACTTGAGGGCGGGGCAAGGCGCCTGGTCTTGTGCGCCATCGTTCTCGGAGCATAGCCTCGTCGGGTATTAATTGTCGCAACTACGAGCGGGCGATTGATCAAACCTCAACGGCTCTTTCCTGATATCCCAAGCCGTTGGCCATTGCGGTTCACGGCCCTTCGGCAACGTCAGATAGACTCGAAACCTTGACTGTAGCATTCGTTACCAGATCGATCTCCCGACAAGCTTGCCGTTTGACGGCACGACCTTCAAGTGTTCCACGACTCACTACTTACCGTCAAAATCATGCCCTGGAGCACCAGCACAGCATTGGTCTTTCCATCGGCGCCCCGTCAGCTGCCACCAGAACTTAAACTGGCTCAAGCTGTGTCCGAATTCGCGCAAGCCCTGGATGGGGAGAGGAAACGGGACTTCATGAGATTACAAGCGCAATGTGCCGGTTCACCTCCTACTGCCTCCGACGTCATCAAGATGACTGAGGAGCTAAATAGAGAGGGTGCTCGGCGACATGCCTCATGGACACCGGCGGCCGGAACACGACTTGGCGGGTTTCTTAGTCGATTACAGAAATTTGCAGAGGCTGGAGATGTCTTAATTGGAGGCTCGCAAAGCCTGATCGCCTCAGGTGTCTGGACGGCAGTAAGAGTCTCACTGGAGGTATGCATAACAAGCCCCAGAAGCCAGGTCAACTGTTTGTGAACAAATGACTGATCGTCAAACGCAATAATCAAGGCAGCATTAGGACACTATGCTTATTTTGACCAGGTCTCCTCACTGTTGATGAGGTTGACACAAAAATGGTCCATTACCTTGGAGTTTGCGAAGCACTTTCCTGACTCACCTGAGTTGCAAGCATTCCTTGCCGAGTACCTTGCTCGAGTGGTCCAGCTGTGCCAGAAGATTCTGGTAGTTGCCAAAAGGCCACCCTATCTCCTCCTGGCAGCATCGATATTATCAAGCTTCGAAATCGAGTTCAAGCCAATCGAGGACGAACTGAACCATTGGACCGATCTAATCAAGAGCAAGTTTGAGATCCTTGCGAATAAAGCTGCTCAAGAGCAGCAGGTTGCTATCAAGGACGCCGGGAGGTTGTTACGTCGCTTTCACACAACGTGGAAGCGTCAAGATGAACTTGAGCAACAACAAAGGATCTTGCATCTTTTATCTCCCCGACAACCTCAAATAGACGCAATATAGAGAAGGGAAAGGAAACGCGGAACCCCGAGCTGGATACTCAACGCTCCCGAATACAAGTTATGGAAGACGGGCACTCGATCCGTGCTGAGGGTTACTGGTCATTTTGGTTGTGGTAAAACCGTTGGCCTCGCAAGCATCATTTCGGACGCTATTATGGAGAACAAGAAGTGCGCTGGCTTCATCTGCAAAAAAGATGATCCAAACACGCTTGATGGGCTTACAATCCTGGGTAGTATTGCCCATCAGCTGCTGCAATCAAGTACAGTCCGTCAAGACTGGGAAGCAATGATCCAGCGAAATCCTAGTATTATCGTTGGGTCGATGGCTACCTCCTCTATCGTGCAGCTCCTTCAGAGTCTGCTACCTCAAAACCAAGCCTTTTACGTTGTACTCGACGGACTGCAGGAGTGTGCAAAGCAGGAAGTCGAAGTTGTCTTGGAAGCACTACACGACCTTCGCAAAGCACACCAAATATCTGTATGCTTTTCAAGAACACTGGATGGTCTTCCTGTTGAACTTACCGAGGAATACCTTGGCACAGCTGCTGTGCTATCTTTGAACAATTCTCAACGCGATGTTGAAATCGGGCATTTCATCAGAACCGAGGTACAAAGACGAAATGCCGTTCGCCAGCCTCCTTTGAACAGCGAGCTGGAGAATCTGGTAATAGAGCAGCTAACGCTAGGAGCACAAGGAATGTAGGTTTGAATCGTTTTTGATGTATGGTCATCATCCATCTATCTACAGTTGCTGATTACGGTGTTACAGGTATCTCTGGGTATCGCTTCACCTGGAAGCCCTGTTTCCATCTCACAACGATGGCATCTTGACTGACGAGTCTGTATTAAACATATTAAACCACTTGCCCCAGGATTTACCGCAGGCCTTTGATCAAGCGCTTGGACGAATCTCTGATCTACGCTATGGCGATCGGATATTTCAACTGGTGGCGGTAGCGGAAAGCCCTCTTACCGGAGAACAGCTCAATGTTGCCCTCACTGTTCAACCTGGCAATAATATTTGGAACGAAACCAAACTGCCACGCAGTACCAAGCAGGTTGTTGCTCGCTGTGGGGGCGGCTTGCTAGAAATTGACGAGGAAGACAACTGCGTTCGGTTCATCCATCACAGTGTGGTATCGCATATGGGCGGCCTAAAGGTAGGAATGGACGGCAGAAGGCTGGCTCGGAGCTGGATATCGGACGCCGAAGCATTTATGGGATCAGTGTGTGTGACATACCTCAACTTTCGGGAGTTGGATCGACGCGTAGTTTTGCGTAGAAATGTTGACCCCATTTCAGTTTCAGAGGCGCTGAAGAAAGAAGCATCGAGTTACAACCCGATATTGGCCAGCGTGATTCGACATATCAAGGGAGATAAACACCGAACAGTGGCCGCCAAGCAACTCAACATTTTTCCGATTCTGCTAGAATTGAAGGATCAGAAATCTGATGAGGGCATCATGACGTGCTTTCTGCCTTACGCATCCAAATACTGGACTCAACATACAGCCCATCTGACCGAAGAAGATGAAACTAAGATCGACATACTATGGAGAGAATTGGTGAATAATAGGCCGCCGCATATCTTGATTCCTTGGAGTCAATCATTGGACCAATTGGCCGACCAAGGAGGGATGTTGGAGTACGCCATTAGTCACTCGCATGCGTACCTTTATCGTCTCATCATGAGGAGTTTTCCTGGAGTCAACACTTTCCTGTGGACCGGTCACTGGGCGCTAAAGAAGGCCTCGAAGAGAGAGAACCGAGCTCTATGGCTGACTGAGATGATAAATCGTTGCTTGGTTGCAGGTTCTTCTTTCGTCCACGCAGCCTACTGGTTTGCCTTATTGCTAAACGATGTGGAGGAAGAAGATTTGAAAGCGATGAAAATGACGCCTGAGGACTCCAAGAAATACCACTATGCACTATTCATGGGAAGGGACTTCGTGGAAATCACGGCCGAGAACGCGACAGATCGTTTGTGGGCGTCAGTTGAAACGGCATGCTCATTTATACCAAAAGCTTTGGATCGTGGAGATAATCCCCGAAGCGTTTGCAAAGCTATAGCCGGGGCTCTCAGAGTTCTGGCCATGCGGCTGTCTCTGCAGGAAAGCACCGCAAAAGAAAACTCGAACTCTGCCAGGGCCGCTTTTTGGAGGTCCTTAGAGGCACTTTCCAGGGATGGAGATGAGGACACCTTTCATACCTTTTGGAACTATCGGTTGTCGGTGGTCAACTGGGGAGGAGACGCACAATACCTCGAGTCAGCGATGCCGATACTTCGAAACGCTTCCAAACACAACAACTTCAAACTGGTCAGCAAGGTTGTGGCAAGTATGAAATCGGGCGTCGAGTTATCTATTCTCGAGCAAATAGTGGAAGAGGTCAAACAACAAGCACAATCCATAATCCGTCCGAAACTTCTTCTAGGTCCGCTGATGGAGTCCGCAAGCTATGTCAAGGACCAGAAGCCGATCGAAGGTCCCTGGTTAGCTGAGGTTATGAATTATATGATGAACAAAGAATACGACAAAGTACTGGAAACAATCCATCACATTATACCCTCCAACGATGGTGTCACAAACAGCAATCTCATCATCCTAAATAACGTGGTTCAGCAAGAAAGGGTACTTCGTTGGGTCATTACAAACCGATACGATAAGGTTTTTCGAAAGCTACCGTTCTTGCGGCAGGCGATATTGTATTGGCCGACCGTCCTCCTTTATGCTATAACGACTTATGCACATGCGGACGCCCCACACGATGAAGACGCTGAAAGCGAGTCCATCATTTTCTTCGGGTTGCTTGAAGAGATGAAACTGATTGACTCTAAAGACTATTGCACCATAGGCTCTGAGGATGGCTTGGACGTTGACCCAGGATGGACAGCACTTCATGCGGCAACTCTATGGCAGCCTTTCGCAGTCAAGGCTCTGTTGGAAACTTGGCCCGACATGGTAAATCGAAAAACGCGGCTCGGACTTACGCCTCTAGTCATTGCATTGTGCGGACGGTTGCGAGCGAAAGATGCCTTTGCGACGGTTGAAGCGCTTCTCAACGCTGGAGCTTACCAGGACACGGGGGCTTTATGGGCATACCCTTACCTTTCTCCCCTGGATATCTCAATCGCGTACCGTCCACACAGTGTGTCACGACTGCTATGTCTAGTTGGGTTTAGCGCTATGAGAGCCGCAGTCCTGGAAGGCGCCCAAGACCCGACTCTTCATACCCTCATGAAGATAATCTCCTTTATCGAAAGCCGAATATCCTTTCAGGGTGATTACGAGGAGTGGACAAGACGGATCCAGGGAGTGACTTCACTCGAGGAGCAGTACCTTCTGGGGTTTTATAGGCCACGACCAGATAAATCCCTGCCACAAGCCCATATATATGAACTAGGTGGATGTGTCATGTTGCATACCGAAGACCGGGTATGCAACTGTAACGACCATTTCTAAGAGCCAGGCAGATCCACAAGCAGATATACCGTATAAACTCGTCAAACTCGTCAAAGTCGGCTTCCAGGTCAGTCCGGCAACGCAGGGTTAAAAACCTGCCATTATTTGCATCATCATCAACTACGTACATACAGCCAGACGCAACTAGCAAATCTTTCACTCGACATTTCCGGACTGACTTGGAAACCGAGTTTGGCGAAGTTATGCGGTGTGAGTTAGAGGGATGCTACGAGTTTCATTCAGCGGATTGGTTTTGCAATTGCGCAAACCTTCATTCTGCGAAAGATCTATCGCCACAAGATCCTGTCCTTTCGGCCAGGTATGGATCTGTCATTGAGCAGGCATGCTTGCAGCGTCAGCTTGATGAAGAAACAGTAATGTTTGCGGACAATTAAACTTGGAGGTAGGACAGTTTTGGAGTACAGAAATTAGCAAAATGAAAATTAGAAGGTATGAATGGCATAGCAAGATATCAATTTCTTATCAATACGTATACAGATTTTGTCGAAATTGAAGGATAATACTGGAAAACTTCCACGTGTCTGGACGACCAAGGTGCGTGACTGTTCTGCTACCCAACTCAAAGACCTGGCAGCCATTGTCAGGAACCCATGCTCGTATTTCCAAGTAGTAGCTTCAACTACTAGATCAAACTCAAACCGGTTATAGGTATTGATGGTCATGTGTCTTCCTTACTTCCCACTTATCCTTACTTCCTAAGCTTTTAACTTACATTAGCACTCGAACGCTCGAAACTGTTGGCTTTGAAACTGACGGTATGTTGCTCCAAGGCGGAATGTTCTTAACAGAACTGAACATGCAGCCCACATCTTGTTGGAACGAAGAGCGAGGCATGAGACAAGTTCTGAACGGAATCAACGCCCTGAACAAGCCGCTGGTCGAATAAACGAACGCTCGGAGCGGATCCCCGCCAAGCCACGGCCCCGGTCCGGCCCCGGACACAGACGAAGTCATCCCTCATAGGTCAGGTGGGCCATTCCCGCCCGCGTGGATGATACCGCCCGTGGTCTTGGTCGACGAGGTGTGGTACGGAACCCGAAGTACTGTGTCGCAAGGACTCCCTCATGGTTTTTCTTTCAGAAACCGTAGTAGCCTGAAAACCGTCGAGCAACCATAAGACATTTGCAACCGTTGCGCCTTCCTAACCGACCGCTCAACAACCGCCCCGTCGGCAGCGACTGGAACCTCAAGTCCACTCCACCTGGCCCCATGAGTCCGGCCGTCACATATGTTCTTTCCTAACTGGAGCTCTCGGGAGACAAGACGATAAATTAGTAAGGAAGGAGCGAAGTTCAATAGAAGGCGGGACTCACTGTTGATGTACCTCTGTTAGTGAGGCCTATTCTTACCTAAGTATGTAAAAATTCATCGCTCTACTACCCCTTCTAACAGATATTCCGCTGGTGTACTTGTTAGGTATGTAAAGGGTAGTGACCGGGGGATAAGGTGACCTTATGGTTCTTCTCTCAGAAACCGTTGTGACTGCCTGACTGTTCAACAACCGTAAGCCTGCTAGGTACGGTTGTGGGTTTGCAAACCGAACACCGCTCCCTGCTTCGGCATTACCATCGCCGCCTCTAGTTCCGACGGAGTTGAGTCTTCAACGACTCGAGATGGTTACTGTACCTTACTTGGGGATCATGATACCCTGTGAGAAACTTACGGTTGTTGGGTTGTTGGGCGGTTGCTAGACGGTTGAAAAAGCACAACGATTGCTGAGAAAGAACGGTTTCTCACCGTTGATACTTAGCTCACAACGGTCTCTTCGGGAAAAACCATCTAAGGTCTCCCCCATTACATGCTGCGGTCCTGGTTTAGCGAAATTGGCGTGCAGTAGTCTGGTGGTTGGAGGAAGTCGCGATGTTCTCACGGCAACTTGCACCATCGATGAGCGATCATGATCCATCCGCCGCCGCATCACTCCTTCCCCGTCCGTCTGCTCATCCAAGTCAATCTCAGCTCAGCTCATGAAGGCACAACCGGCAACTACAACTGCGGTCGATATTGACTTTACAATCATGATCCCGGCACTCACGACAAAGGGAACGACAGAGGACCAAAGTATCCCCCTCTAAACGTCTGTTAGAAGGGGTAGTAGAGCGATCAATTTTGCCATGATAATTAAGATTCGAGCCACTAACAGAGGTACATCTGTTGGAACTCAGCTTGCATTGGAGAGTGATGATGGCTGTTTCACGGCCGCAGTGGGAACCATGGCACACTACAGAACTGCACTTCCCAGAAGCATCTCTTTGTTCAAGTAGTTGTTGCAAGTTCGTTGTGAGAACTCATCAAAGTGACGATGATGATGATCAAGATAATAAGGAAACACTGCAGCATATACGAACCATTGAATGCACGCACTGTCAAACCACTTTCATTCTTCTCAAACGCCATCTCAATTTGAATGCCAAGTAAGCACCTAAAGCCTAACCATGAGGGTAAAAGACTATCCGCTGCCAATGCAACAACAGCCTGAGCTATCAAAACGCCTAACAAGAGCCCTTTTGCCTGCCATTGTGCTGTATGCAAATGCCAGTGCAATGATGCTTTTTCCAGCCTGATTCCAAACCTCTGATGCACTCTATCCATGTCCGTGACCATCCATAACCAGGAATCGTCCCCCTCCTTTTTTCTTTCCATTTTTGTCCACTCTAAGACCATGGCTCCCAAACCAAGGGGAGCTCCAAACTGATGCGAGAAAAGAGCCTGTTGCTCTCTATTATGCGGCCAAAGCAAAATAAGAAACCGAAACTATAAACCGTATCCGACCTGCTGAATCCATGAAAGCAAGTAATATTCCACCATCTTCTTCACGGGTATATCCATCCCTACCACCCAATACCCAACTGACCCGACTGCCTGTCTAGTACAGGCACCAATCATATCATTATGAGGAACCCCAAACGGTGCTGCTCTCCTCGTACGCCCACATTCACTCCTCATCTTCCTGGTTTCCTATCCCATGTAGCTCACTGCATCAACTGGGGGTCTATAGCCTCCTAAGCAACGGGTCCATGCCCAGAAGGAGGGTGAGGGTAAGGGTAAGACAACGACTGCATGGGCTGAGGCTGCATATGCTGATGCTGGAGAGGGTGCATCGGTGGCATCTGTTGTTGCATCGGGGGCATCGGAGCCATTTGCGGCGGCATCTGTCCCTGGCCCGGACCCGGTTGTGACATCGGTGCCATTTGGGCCATTGGCGGCATCGGTTGGGGAGGCATTTGCTGAGGAGGCATCGAGTGCGGAGGCATTGAATGCGGAGGCACCATATGGGGTGGAAGCTGGGGGAAGCTATGCATCACCTGGTGGTGACCCTGAGAACCCGGAACGTTCTGAACGTTCTGGGGTTGGGGCGGCAAAGCCAGCAGCCCGGTATGGGTAGGACCAAGGCTTGGTGTTGTCGGAGCCGAGGCGCCGGTGGAGGGGCCGGCGGAAACTGGATCTGGTGTCTGGCTCATCGACATCATGCCCGGCTCGTTACCGTTTGTCACGCCCGTTGCCGCCTTTTCGGCCTTCTTGTTGGCCAATGTCGTACGGCGCTTTTCAACTGCCCCTTGCATCTCACCTGAAGCCCAGCGTCCTAGGTTTATGTTAGCTTACGAACATGTTGATCAAAGGAAGACCAGCGGTACTTACTTCTCATGGAATAGCTCATCTTCTCCGACTTGCTCATCTCCGCATATGGCTTATCCGGTTCCGTGGTATTGGCCAGGGCAAAGCCACTGGGCATCATCTTCGGGGGTTCAACGGGCTCGGGCGGGGTTGGCGTAGCCGCCTTCGGAGCCCGAGGTGCTTTACCTGGGCCCTTCAAGGTAGGATGCGGGCCATTGTTGACGGGAGGGGCTGCCTGGGGAGGCACTTGGGCAAAGCTATGACCCATCGGAGGGGGTCCTGGGTTCTTGATCTTGATACGAGTCAACGGCTTGGTGATAGCCGGTGGTGCGGGAACTTGCGGCGGAGGACCGCCAGGTGGGAAGGCTGGAGCGGCGTTAAATGTATGCATAAAGGGAGATGGACCAGGTGCCGGAGCAATGGGAGGCGGTCCATTGTTGAAGAACAAGGCGGGTGCTTTCAATCCTCCTACAGGCTGCTGCGGTGCAAGTGCCGGAGGTGGTGGAGGAGGTGCTGAAGCAGGCTGACTCGTCACATTCGCGTTCTTCTTCTTAGGGCCACGCTTCTTAGGCTCATGGCTCTCCGGTTTGGTGGGCATGGTGTTGCGAGCTCGCTTCTGTTGCCTCGGCTCAAGCTCAGGGTCGTTCTCGAGCGCAAAGTTGCGTTTTCGCTTATCACGCAACGAATAACTCGACTCCGGGGTACCGGCTGTATCGTTGGTGCCCTCCGACGATGCAGTGGACGGCCTCTGCACCTGCTGCTCTTGGGGCGATGTCTCTGGAGCACCATTATCCAGGGGAACAGGGTTGTTATAAAAAGATTGCGGAGCGATCTCTTGCACGGGAGGAAGTACCACCTTAGGCTGACGCTGACGCTTAGTCTTTCCCTCCTCAGTTTCCGTGGGAGCAGGCGTAGGGGCAGGGGTGTCCTCAATGGCAGGAGGAGCAGCCGGTGCACCACCACGTTTGCGGCCAGGTTTTGGCTTTTCTACTGGCAAAGGGGTCTCTTCAGCCTTGGGTTCCTCGGGTGCTAGGCTAGCCGCGTCATCACCCTGTGGCACTTCCTGAGATTCCTGAACTTCCTCAGCAATCTGGGCTTCCACATCCTGCTGAGGCTCCTTAGCTTGGTCAGCTTGACCAGCTTGCTCAGCTTCCAATGCCTCTTGTGCCTCCTTAGCTTCTTGCGCCTCCTTGGCTTGCTGGGCTTGCTCTGCCAAAATAAGTGCTTTGGGCTTCGGTCCGCGTCGCTTGCGGACTACAGGCTCAGGAGCAATCTCTGTGGCCGGAGTTTGGTCAGACGGCTCAACCGAATCGTCATTGGAAGCCAGTTGCTTGCGCTTGCCACGCCGCCCGACAACAGCAGATGGACCGCCTGTAGGGGTGCCAGCACGACTAGGATCTTTGCTTTGATCCGAGAGGTTGCGGGGTTTGCGAACCCGCTTTCCTTCAACAACGTTTTCTTCGGCAAGCTCAGCCTTTCCAGCACCTTTCCTGTGGGGTCGGGTCTCCGTGATGTCCCAACGTTGCTCTTCGATGTTTTGTCTACCAACCGCGTTGGCGTGGGGATTGTGCTTGAAGCCATATGCTGCGGCCATGATCTTATCCTGGTCCTTTTGGTGCTCGTAGATGGGATCATCTGACGAAGGCTTCGGTGCGCGAACACCCTTGAGTTCGAAGGCGGGCGGTCCCTTGGTGGGTTCATCATAATGGCGACGGAAATGAGGCGCATCTTCTGCTTTCAGCCGGTTTTCCCAGTTGACGATCGAGACATCATTCTTCTTGCGGCGCTCTGCATTGTCCTCATCGTCAATAACCTTCCTGAGCTCGCGAAATTCTGTCTGCCAGACGTTGAGGGTTTCCGCAACGGCTTCGGCCAGCTTGTAGAGCGTGGCATTGTCCATGTCCTGGTAGTCTTCCAAGACATCCGCAAAGTCTTGGACGTCGCGAATCTTGGGGAATGACCACTGCTTCCGTGGCTGTCGGACCACCTCTAAGGGCTCTATAGAGCCAGCGGCTTTTTCGGAGTCAAATACCGGCCCATTGACATACTGCCCATCTTCATCGTCGGCTACAGATCCGGTTGCCAGATCTTCCTCATCCACCATCTCAGAGGGAGAAGGCGCGGCAGTCGGAGGTTCCGTCTGCGGCATATCATCGGATGATTGCCCTGTTGGACGAGAGGCTTGCTTCACCTTTGCCAAGGGAGCTGGCTCTATTGGGGGGAGTGTTTCCGATACTCCGCGTCCAGACTCAGCCTGTGCCTCCTTCAGCCGTGGAATGTAGTAGGTGTCTCTAAACTCCTTCATCGACATACGAGGTTGCCCGCTCGCCACCATCTTTCCAGTTTCCTGTCGCCAGAGTTTGTAAAACTCTTCCGTCTTCAGCTTGCGGCGCCCATCCCAATGGAGTTCAGTAGACGTGAGTTCTGGGACGGCGGCCGGTGCGACCGGTACCGCCTGTGCAGGTGTGGGAGCCGGTGAGGTGGCCGGTGTTGGTATAGGCGTAGGATTAGCCTTGGTCGTAGTATCCAGGACAAGCCTTTCAGTAAAAGGGCCAGGGTGTGTAACATCATCGTCCACGTAGGGTGTGAGCTTCAGAGAAGCAGCTGTAGGTGTCTCGAGGCTATAGACCTTCTCGAGGTTCTTTAGGCGAGGAGGGAAACCCGGCTTGGGAGGTAGTACCGTCCGAGAAGAAGACGATGGGGAGGCTGTCGCAACCGAATCACTACCTTGTGTGGTGTTGGGAGGGGATGGAGAGCGATTGCCTGGGTGAGAGTTGAACTTGGAAGAAGAGGTCGGTGGCGAGGGATGAGCTTGTGGAATCAATTCTGGCACGGAGTGCAAATGGGTTGCTTCATCTTGCTCTGTGGGCTCTACCTTAAAAGGCCCATCATGGAGCAGATTTTGGTGACTCTGGGGGTGTTCCGATGGACGTGATGTCTCAATCTCGTTCGACATGGCGGTTACATGATGTGAGCCTCGCTCATTGGCTGAAGTTTCGTTGGAAGAAGCGGTGTTATCATTCTCCCGTATTGATGGATTTAGAGTCGATTCATCCTCATTGCTGGTGCTTTCAATGTTGCCATGCGATGCGGGATGAGTTTGTGACTGGAGCGAAATATCCTTGGGCGCCTGTCCGGCTTCATCACCAGGCTGACGCGGCTGAAGGCCTTTACTGACCGTTCCTCTAGTATCAGCAGCGCGAAGCAATGGCTGTTCACCTTGCGAGACAGCACCGGTTCCGTTGGACTTTGACGACTGATTGTCCGCGGATGCACCTTCAACGGCCGACTGTTCCAACTCTTCCTCTACCTCGGGTATCTCATCCATAGAGACACCGACCAAGATGGTATCTTGCACGTCGTTGTCTGACTGATGCTCAACATAAGTGCTCTGCGCCGTAGCTGGCTTCTTACCCGCTGGCTTCCGGTGAGAGGATGAGTTACGTGCAGGAGCCGGAGACTTGTTGCTCCGCTTGTTCCGCAAGGCCGTATGATCATGGTCCATGAGTTCTTCACCCTCAGACTCCCCTTGGGTACCCCTTCGCCGGCGTCCGCGGGTCGTTGGTGTGCCGGCAGGCCTATCGGCTCTGGCGGCGGCACCGCCAAATTCATCATCAATCTGTTCCTGGCTGTAGTTGAGCCGTGCACGCTTCCTAAGAGAGTGACCGCCTTTGCTATTGTCCTCAATAGTGGCTTCATGAGAGGAGTCAAAGGTCCTGGACCTTTTGCGAGCTGATGAGTTGCCAGCAGGCATGGCACTGCTCGAAGGGGCCTCGAAGGTGAATGGAGTGACGCGGAAGGAAGAGGTCAAATCAGGCGCCGATGGAGAAGCAGTGCGGCGCTGTTGATGGTTTGGATAAACGACTTGCTTGCTCCTACCACCTCGGCGGGAGCCGGTTGAAGGAGCGCGCTGATGTGTCGGCGCTTCTTGCTGCTGTTGATGTTGTTGCTGAAATTGATGGCCCTGGGTCTGATGCCCATGCATCTGCAAATGGTGTGGTTGATTGTTCTGCAAATGCGATGTAAAGGGGAATGGAGGATTCTGAGTGGTCAGATCCGAAAAGGGGGTGTAGGTGGAGGAGGGGTGAGGCGCATGTGAGTTGCTGCCAGGAATGGAAGGGTTATCTATGGTATTGGTGTGGTGAAAGCCATTGGCTTGGGGAAAGGGTGTAATCTGAAATTGATGCTCGAATTCGTGCTGCTGAGCAATATGACGCTGTTGATGTTGCGGCTGTTGACTATTAAACTGTTGGTTGTGTTGTTGGTGAGAGGTCGATGAAAGGGTCCCACGCATTTTCTTGGTCGCGCGCCCGCGGCCACGTCCGCGCTCCATGTTAAAGCAGGTGTAATTCACTCTGTAACTTTTGCTGCACAGACTTGTTTGAGCCGGCCTCAGCTGTCGGCTGGTCAGAGTGAGAACTTGATACTATTTGGGCGGTGGTGGAACATGGACTCTGCCAGTGAGGCGAAAAGTCAAAAAAATGCACTAACCTTTCAACGTGTCAGGGAGTCGGCTTTGCTTCACCTTGTCTCAATGGTTGGATCTAGGCTTGGCATTCGCTGAGTGCCCAGCGGGTTGCAGCGTTGTCTGGTTGGGTGAAAAGGGTGTGATGGAAAAGATGTCGAATAGCAATGCTCGCTGTCTGGCAATGCTGGTTGTCCGTCGTCAATTCCTCCTGAAAGTGATGTAGTAATGGACGACTTGAAATTATGTCGAGTGTTGGAGGTTGAGTGAAAAGTGAGGCCAGGCCGGACGCACGGGCAAAAGCAAGTACAGACGGGATGGGCGGTATTAGTGCAAGCCGCCGGGGCCAAGCAGTTCTGTGAATGTGTGCACCGTCTGAAGAAAACCCAGGGAAGCGGGTTGAAGACAGGATATACGAATTGGCGAGTACGTGGAATGGTGTAACTTCGGGCGAGCGAAGTGCGCGAGAGGTAGAGAAGATGTTGCGCCGTCTTCCAAATCGCTGCTTGACTTGGCTGGGAAGAGGCCGTGACTTGACGGCCGAGTAGATTTCTTCCTCACGTCAATTTTGGAGGTTCAGATTCCCGAATAAGCCACAGCCAATCGCACACGAGCACAGTGCCCTGGCAGACCCACTGCACAGCTGTTTGCCAGCCGACAAGGCCACTAACATGCTCCAGCTCATGTGTCGAATGATGGCCAATCACACTTCACCATTTGCAGCCTGCAATTGTGGATCAACAGAACCGTGGCCGCTCTTTTGCTTCATGTCATTCATTGCGCGAGCCGCCTGGCTGGATTCACTCTGAACAGAACCTGAGTGAGCCACTGCAAGCTGGCAGGCAATTGAGGCGTCTAGATAACTGGACTTCACGTTTAAAACTCGTGGCTCAGCTCCGTCAGTACGTTGAGAACAATAAGGCTGACGACTGATGATGAGGCTCTCACCAAGTGGATGCGCCTCACCAATCCCGTCAAGCCTAACCCCAGAGTGACGATTCAGTTATTATTGACCCAAGGTGCTTGCTATCACCAGCATTTTATCTAATGTACGTGTAAGAGCGCTTGGGTCAAATCAGAGTATAAGTATATAGAGATGGATACACATCCGTGCAACCCCGCAAATCCGCACCAAATCTGCCTGGTCCCCGCAATGCATTGGGTGCCCGTCCCTGGACTGTTGTCAGGGCACTGGGCATGCATGCACCTGCCTGTTGACGCACAGGCCAAGCCGGACTTCTGGGGAAGGCGGTACCCAGTGAATCAAGCACTGGGAGGATACTTTGTATCCTCGAGCCAGATTCCTGGCCAGTTCTTAGCTTAGATCATCAACAATCTACATATATATACACTGTATACCTACATCACCCTGACAGTAGTGCGCTAGCACGTATCGAACGCGTGGAACGAAGCTATCATTGACGAATCGAACTAATTAATTTTTCTTTCTTCTTTCGACTCCCGTAAAGTATTTTCACCAGCCCTCCTTAGCAACGAAGCACTAATCGAATCAAACTAAGACCAAAATACCCCGCCTAACACACTCGCACCAAACAAAACGCAGACTTCTACATTATATTAAACGTATTACCCCGCACTGAATTAATATTATCAATTCTCCCAAATCCAACTCAAATGCTTCCTATATTAAATTAAAAGAATCGAAACTATTAATTTCCTAAAATTACCCACTAAATCTAAAATCGTCGATTTAAATCCAAGTAAATTGATATTATCAATTTCTACAAACCTGATTAGAACGCATTCTACGTCAAACTAAAATTAATATTTTCAATTCTCTCGAATCTAATTAAATGACTAATAAATATCTACGAGCCTGCCAAATCTTCAGATTCCATTTTAACGAATAACCCCAATTTACCTTACTTATAAAAGACGACTTTAACTTCGCTAAACGTTTTAAACTTACCTTCGAACTTAAAGATCCCGTTCCTAATAGCGAAGAAAGGTTCCCGATTAACTAGGGTACTAAAAAGAACTCGTTTCCTGGGTTTCTAAGAAACTAGCGACAATAGATCAAACAAAGCGTCTTTACGAAAGCTCCAACACATTAACCTATTAAAGAATAACCTAACCTTCTTATTAATCTACGCCGAGGCTACAAGTATATACTTTCCTAACTTTAATTATTTCTAACCGATCTACCTTAAACACCCAAACCCAGAACTAACTTAACTAAAGTTCTAAACCTCCAAGAAGTCCTCTACTCCCTATCTATTAGCGAAAAAACCCCATAAGACCTCCTCTATAAATTCGAACGTTACCAACAGCTAATTAGGGAACAACTCGAAATCCAAGAGTTAAACTAATAGTACAAGGAACAGCAAGAAGCCGTTATCGAATACGCTATACGTCTAACAATAGAATTCCAACAACAAAAAACAGAACGTTAAGAAGCTTAACAACTCGAAACTAAATATTATTAAACCTAACTTAAAGAAAATCAACATTTTTAAGCTGAACGTAATCGCTGAACTGAACTTACGGAACGTCGTCATTAAAGGGAACTTAAAAAAGTCCGTCATTAAACCGAATTTAACGAAGCTTAACGCCGTCGAACCGAATTCGAAGAAGTTCGTCGTTAATAAAATTAAAACCTTAAAATTTAACGTCGTTATCAAATCGAACTTAAGAAAACTCGTCAAACCCAACTTAAAAAAGATTAACGCCGTCAAACTAAATTTAAAGAAGCTCGCCGTCAAATCGAATTTAACGAAGCTTAACGTCGCCGAGAGGCTAAACATTAGGAACTTTAAAATCAAGAAATCGAACGTAATAAAAACGGGGATATCAAAATAATAGGAAACCTAACTCAGGCGGAAATCGTCGCCCTTGTATCAAAAATAATTACTAAAACGATTATAAAAATACCTGCCCCCTCAACCAATTTCAATATTAAAATATTAAATATTAACTACTTTAATCCATCTACAACTTCCGTTAATAGAATTTAATTTAATAAAAAGATAACTAAGTATATAAACATCTACGCCTTTATAAACAAATTAAAGTACTAAGCTCGCAATTTTAAAAACGATAGCAAAGTCCAAATTCGCTATATTTAGACCTAATATTTTTTAAGCCCCGCTTTAACGTAGTATAACTATATTCTTTCGGAAGCCGACTATTTATTACTAGAAATAACCTCTATCGACGCTGAGGCTACCAGAGGCACCATATGCCTAACTATAGCATCATTATTAATCCCCTCTAACGTAAGAAAACTAAAGTCCTCAAAATTCATCGCCGAAAGGGTCCCGAACCGGATAACACACAAGCGACGTTAAGTTTAGGAAGTAGAACCCAATCAAAACAAACTTCGTCGACGCCGAATCTATCAAAACCATATCTATCAAAACCATATCTATTAAAACCGCTTCCCAAAAATAAGTATAATCGAAAGGCCTAAGCCGTAACCATACTTTTTAATCTACTATCCTAAGAAGAAATAGCCGCCTTCGAAGCCATTAAACAGGCCTTATCGAACCCAGTTAAACTTTACCACTTTAACCCAAATCGATTACTTTATTTCGACTATAATACTTATAAACGCGGAATCGGCGTCGAAATCTACTGTATTGAAGAATCTATATTCGAGAAAATCTGGGATTCCGACGGCAAAGTAATAAAGTACCTGCCCAGAACAACAATTCAACCGATCGTATTCCTCTCTCGTACTCTATCCTAAATAAAGAAACGATACTAGGCTACAAAAATAGAAATCCTAAGATTTATCTAGGCTATATCAAAAGCAAGGCACTAGATTAATATAATTAAGGCCGGAATATACTATTTTACAAACTATTCTACCGTATTTAATATAATAAGGTAAGTAAATATAGCCAACTCAACGGCCGCCAACGTATTAAATAAGCAATTAATGAGAGCTATAGAATTTATCAATCTATTTAATATACAAATTCTTTATAAACTAAATATCTACTATATTGTTCCAAATATACTTTTACGTTTTAATTCAAATAATAATAAAACGGACCCTAGGAAACCAAGCGGCCTTAATATATTACTTAACGAGGCTAATAAATACTAAGCGTTAAATATAAATACAAATCAAATATAGGCAAGCCAAATATAAATACCCCTACTTAGAATTAAACTATTAAACAATTTTATTAAGGACGAGGGATTCGACAAGATACAAATCTCAACAAAGGCTGTAATCGTCGCTATTGAAACGAATTTCCATTAATAACTAATTAACGGATACTTCGAAAACCCATAATAAAGGACAATATATAAAATAATTCAATAAAACGGAACCCTAAGTAACGAAAAAGCTGAACTTCTATTCCAAATTCGTAATAACCTCCTTTAGAAAGTCCAAAACGACTCCTATAAATTTATAATCCCTAAAAATAGCCTTTATAACGTCTTCAAAACGTTTTATAATAAGAATCACCAAAGCTATAATAAGTTAGTACCGCACTTATTTAACTTTTATATCGATAAAGGATTAAAAAGGCTAAGAGAATTCCTAAAATCTTATCCAAAATACAAAATCAACAATATACAAAAACACAAACCATACAGGAACCTATAACGATTATTAGGACTGCTATACCCGTATTTCTTTATTATAATAAACTTTATATTAAACTTACTGACTTTACTAGAAGGATTCGACGTTTACTTCGTCGTAATATGTAAATATAGCAAGGAAATCATCGTAATCCCGAGAAAGTCAACGTAGACCGTATAATAATAGAGAAAGGCCTTAATTATAAAACTTCTTTCTCGAAATTAGGGATTACTATACCAAATTTTAACGAACAAAGATCCAAAATTCGTATCAGTAATATAAAAGGGCATTTAGTAGTACTTCAGCACTAAACTCCTATATAATATAATATACAAAATATTAACAGATAGACAATTTAAACGTTTAATATAAGTAATCAAATCTGCTTTACGGCACTATATCTAAAGCTTAGAGAAGATCGAACTCTAGCCCGAGATTATTCTAAAACTAAAATTCGAATATAATAATTATAAGGTATTATTAACGTAATAATCGCCAAATAAAATAGTCCGTAGATTCTAGTCAACTGGCATTGCCGAAGTCGTTTCGGAGAAATTACCAAATAAATTAAATTTACCAATATCTAAGATCGAAGCTTATA